GGAAGAGGCCGGCAGTAGCCCGGGACTAGTCCCCAGGAGGCGTGGAGGAGGTGTGGAGGATGTGTGGAGGATGTCTGGAGGAGGTGTGGAGGAGGTGTGGGGGAGGTGCGTCGGAGGTGTGTCGGAGGTCTGTGGCGTGCCTCGCAGAGGCGCTGCATGTGCGGCAGGGCTGGCGCGAGGGGCGAGTCGCGCAGCTGCGGCGTGGCGGCGGAGAGGAAGAAGCGGAAGAGGCAGGCGCTCCACGAGAGGACACGCAAGCTGGGCAGGACCTGAGGCGAGGGGCTTCCCCGGCTAGGAGGCGAGCTGGCGGCGACGGGAGGGGGCTCTATCTCGGCTGCATCCCGGCTGCATCTCGGCTGCATCTCGCCCCGGCCGTGATGTCGACCGCGGAGAGCTCGGCGTGTCGAAAGTCGCCGAGGAGAGCCGCGCCCTTGACGAGTGCGTCCGCGGCCCAGGGCACGAGTCCTGCGAGAACGGCCCCTCCCTGCCTCCCGCCCGTGTAGCTGTGGAACGCCGCCGTCACGCAGAGCCACAGGCTAGCCAGCCGCAGCCGCTCGTCGCGCGGCAGCGCGATGCGGAACATGCTGCCCATCGCCGCAAGCTCGAGGTGCACCATCTGCCAGACCAGCCCGCCCGCGCTGTACACCACCACGGAGCTCACGTTGCACACGGTGCGCAGCCAGTTGAGCAGCGCTCGCATCGGCCGGAAGACAGCTATCAGCGAGACGCCGCGGTTGTACGCAAGCACAGACGCGAGCGTCTCGGCAACCTCTGCGGCGTCGGCGGCGCCCTCGGCGGCGCCCTCAGCGGCGCCCTCGGCGACCTCCTCTTGGTCGCCCGCGTCGGCGCGCGCCTCCCCGCTCGACCACTGCCCTCGCGGAGTGAGCCCGGTCACCTCGCGAGTGCAGAGCGGGCAGCGGGCGAGCGCAATGAGCTGGTCGTCGAAGGTGTCGGGCTGGCGTCGCCACCAGGCGAGGAAGCACGGCGCGCAGAAGCGGTGTCCGCAGCTCGTGATTAAGGGCAGCCGCGGCTCCTCGAGGCAGATTGCACACGGATCAGGCTCCTCGGCGTTGTCGGCAGTGCTCGTCGCAGGCCGCGCCAACTGCTCGTGCCAAACCTGGCGCCGACGCCACACGTGGTAGGCGGCGAAAGCGGCCGCGGCCGCGGCCGAGACGGCCGCCGCACGACCCATGCCGCTGCTTGGCATGTGGAGAGCGCGGGTAGCGCGACGCACGCGGGTAGCCGCGACCCCTAAGCGCGGCCCGCGCCTCACGCCCTGGCTTTCTTTTTATGCTAAAAATCGAGGTAGCTCTTCGTGGCACTTGCTTCGCGACAAGGTCACACGCGGACGCTCCAGCCTCTCAGCTCACAACCACGCCTTCTCTGTCGCTCTCCTGGCCCAGGCCCATCAGTAGCAACCCTGATCTGTCCCAGACCGCACTTATCTCGGGTCTTCAAGCTTACACCGGCTCGTGATGCCACGGAGAGGGCTCGAGAGCACTCCCGGTGGACCCCATCAGAGGCGATTGCGACGGATTTCCGGAGGTCAATACCGGCGCCACCGACCGTGAAATGTACCGATCCACAGCCCTCATGCACCAGACGCATGGATGCAGTCATAATATGTAGGCCTTCTCTCCCAATCTTTTGAGCAATAGCCGCAAGTAGTACTTGTTGGCACCGCGTCATCCGCGACACATCCAGGTGCCGACAAAGCGGCTTCCCAGCTCACCACCTCGCCTCTCCTGCCGCTCTCCCGGCCCAGGCCCATCAGTATCAAGCCTGAGCTGTCCCAAACCGTCCTTATCTTGGGTGATGAAGCCCACTCTGGCTCATACCAGGGCTCTTGCGGCCTCACACACGCTTGTTTCACCCACAGACACCACCGGCACGCACTCCCACTTCACACGTGCTCAAACACAACCCCACCAAAGCACAGCCCTGCTCAGAATGGGCAAGGTCCACCGCTTGGTGACCCAGGTAGCCTCTGGCTCGTCACTGCACTCGGCTCCTCTGCAGCGATCTCGCGCTCTCGCCACGACAGCACGCCGACGGCAAGCTTTGACGGCCGTCTGGTGAACCTGCTGTCGCCACAGCCGCCCCTCACATTCAGCTCGCATCAGAACTCGACACTGGGCCCTCTCATCCCGGTCGTGGCGGCGTGTGTGAAGGATGCGCGGCCGAGCCGCTGGCTGGCGCCGCTTGAGCGTCCGAGATGGCCGCAGCACAGGCCACGCGTCGCGCCGCCGGCCGATCCCAGCCTCTCGGCGGTCGAGTCGGTCGAGCTGGCGGGCGGAGAACAGCGAAGAGGGCAGCAGCGGAGCGTGACAGGCCGTGCTGAGCCATTCGCGCCTTTGAAGGCAGGCTCTGTTCACTGTGAACAGAGCTTGGATGGCCCCTCGGACACGACGCAAGGCCCAAACTTGCCTGTGCCGTGACGACGCCCATTTGAACCGTTTTGCACGATTTTTTTGGCTGTCTCCCGAGGCCCCAGTGCCGGCAACACACAGCCAAATATGCGTGAGGAGGCACCTGGGCCGCGTTTGAACGGTGTGAAAATGGTGTGAACACGGTCTCTCTGCGATTTCGGGCCCGGGGTTGTGCGTTTATGTGAACACGGTTGATCGGTTGTGCGTTTACGTGACGGTTGATTCCTCTTATTCTAAAGAAAGAAAGAAAACAGACACCGCAGCGCCCAGGGAGGGATGGGAGAACGGCACGCCGCCACCACACAGGGATTTTAAGGAGAGGGATGTGGTGCGCTAGCCGTCGCCCACCCTTGGGCAGAAAGAAAGAAAACACGCAACCCAAGGGAGGGATGGGAGGACGGCACGCCGCCACCACACAGGGATTTTAAGGAGAGGTGTGTGATGCGCTAGCCGTCGCCCACCCTAGGGAGTCTGCCTCTTCCTATCTCTCTTCGCAGTCTCTCGCCGCTTCTCGCTGCAACCTTCATGCCACCTCGCGGTCGTCCCACTCTCGTCGTTCTCTCCCTTGTCATTTCCTCCTCTGTCGCGTCGTTCTCTTCTGCCTCGTCCTGCGACGCCGCCGCCTGCCGGTCCCTTGTTCTCGCGGCTTCTTTCGCCTTTCGGCGCAACTCCGTCCTCCTCGCGGCGTATCCTGGCCCCTCGAGTCTATCGAGCTCCCCTCGCGCAAGGACCACATTTCTGACTCCCACTCCGATCATTTGCCTACAGGTCATGTTGTTGCTCAGGTCCACTCTCTCTTCGAACACTCGTGCCTCTACGGATGATGCCGGCGCTGGGGTCCCCTTCGGATGCATCGTGAGACGTGACATCTGACAACTGAATTTCCACTGGTTCGCAAGGACTGGTACGCGCACCAGGAGCTCGTCAAGGCGCGGGATGTGCACGTCAAGAACAACCCGTCCCTCGGAGACAGCGCCGTCAACAACCGCGAAGCCGCGCGCTTCGTCTCCGCCTCAACGCCTTTCGCCGGCAAGGCCTTCGATGTCCGTGTCGACGGTACGTACGCCACCGCCCTCTCCTCCGACACCCTCCAAGACGAGCTCCAGCGAAAGCTCGGCCTTTGGCTCTCCGCGGCGCTTCCCACCCTTCGGGTCGCGCTCGAGCGGGGCATGCCAGTCGATTTCTTCGGCGACTACCTTTACAACAAGGCCCACCACCGGCGGCCCCACGACGGCGTCCTCGCCGCCTGGGCGGACGCGATGCGCGCCCCGGCCAACGCGCCGGTCGTGCACGGCGACAAGGAGAAACCAGAGCTCACCCGGCAGTACAACGAGGGGTACAAGGTCGACCTCGCGGAACCCCCCACGCTGGCCCGGGAGGATGCGATGAGGTGAATGAAGTCAAGCTCTGGACGCCCCTCCTCAAGACCTCCTCGCCGGGCGTTGGCAACGCCTCGAGTGGCGGCACGCCCGCCTCCGTTGGCCACTCCTACGCCTTCGGCAACACCGAAGAAAAGGCCCGCCGCCTAAACATGGGCTGCAAGGCGCGCGGGCAGCCCGGCCAACCCTTCTCCCACAAGACCGGCCACGGCTACGTCAAGGCGCATCGCGGTTTCTACCACGACGCGATCTTTGTCAAGCGCAACAACTTCAACCTGCTGCTCCACGAGACGTTCGGCGGCGGCTTCTCGCCCACCGCCGTTCTCAAGCTGCGCCGCCTCGCGCGCAAAGTCGCGCGCGGCAGCGTTGACCGCACAGCCTACTCGCCCAAGTACTCGCTCTCTTTTATGTCCCACCATGCAGAGCGCATCTCTCTCTCTGTTGTGCGAGGCGTGAACCGCGCCATTCGCTCTCACCTGGCAACCCTGTCTGCACGTCTCGCGCGCGCGTGAACAGGGCTCCAGGCCCCAAATTACGTGTGAGTGTTAGAGTTGTTTGGTATTGCTAAAAATCTCTCTCTGGTTCGTTCTCCTCGGAGTCATCTTCCCCGTCCTCCTTCCGCTCGGCTCTTCGCTCGGTACGTTCGGTGTGGCTCACCCTCCATGCCGTGAACAGGCGCTTTATCCACCCTATATTCTTCTCTCGTTCCTCTGCCCGTGCCTTGATCTACTCTTCTTTTATTTAGGTTATTCTCTTTGTGTTCTCGCGTCTCGCCGGCTTCTCCCAAGCCGGGTGGCGCTGCAAGGTGTCTGATAGAGGTCTGAGGCGATGAGGTTGACCTCCGCCGCTGCGTTGATCGCCTGCCTGTCGTCGTGCGCCAGCGCCAGCAGCATCGCGACGGGCGAGGCCCAGGCGGGCCAGCAGCCGCGCGAGGACCGCACCGCAGCTGCGGGCAGCAGCTTGCCTCCCGGCTTGGGCTTCCTCCGGGCGCTGGGCGGCGAGTGCCGCTCGTGCCTCAAAGAGTGCCTGGGGACGCAGGCAACGGCGCTGCAGCAGGCGTCGCTGCGGTGGCAGGCTCCCATCTCGCTCGTCACCTGGCGCGCACGCACGCCGCCCGCTCCGCCCTCCCCTCTGTCGCCAAACGAGGGTCGCACTGCGCGGCAGGTACCTCTTTCGCAATCGCCCCTTCAAGATGTGGCCGCTCGAGGAGGTGCGCGACGCGCCGCTGCCCCGCCGCCGCGCGCGACGCCACGCCGAGCCCGCGCCCTCCGCCGTCACCCGCCTCCGCTCCTCCTCCCCCACGTGATGGAGCGCCCTCGGCGCCTTTGCAGGTGGTGTACAACGCGCTCAAGGTGCACCCGGCCGTGTGGGGCTCGCTCGCCGCGGGGGGCTACATGAGCTGTAGCAGCCAGTGCGATGCCGAGTGCCCCTTCCCCGGCCAGCGCTACGACCCGAGCGGGCCTGCGATGCGCGAGCTCGAGGAGATCGACGCGGCCGACACGAGCTGGCTGATGCGACTCTACCGCCAGGGCGGCTCGCGAGGAGGCGGGTCGAGGGGAGGGATCCAGGACACGCTCGGGACGCTCTTCCAGCTCTGAGGGGGCGGCGCTCTGCTGAAAGGGGACAGGGTAGCGCTGTGGTGTGCCATCGAGATTGCTTCGGGGCGCGCTGCGGGTCGCAGGTTCTGGTCTGTGATCCAGCTGGTGTGCACCCGCAAGTGGCCGCTCGCGAGAGAGCCGCCGCCTCGCGTTTCGTGTGCACTCTAGCGAGAGACATCTGACATGCCGGTGTGAGCTGTGAAAGCTGTGAGCCGTGGACCGGCGTGGTGTGGGCCATCTGCGCCCTCTCCGCGCCCGCCATCGCGGCGTGCACCGCTTTACTCCGCTGTGAGCATCAATGAACAATAAATCAGAAAGTGTCACTGGGTTGGACGCATGGGGCGACGCTCTAGGGCGGCCGGCGGCGCGGGCGCGCGGCCCCGGCGGCCGGCGGCCGACCACCGCGCGGCCCCGGCGGGGGGGGGGCCCGGGGCCGTTGGAGGAGAGCGGGTTGTCGACTACCCCTCCCTCCTCACGTGGGCGTCGCCGTCACGCCGGCGAGGTCTGCGCCGCGCATGCCGACGAGCTCGCTCCTCAGCGCGTGCACGAGCTGCTCGGCGTCGGAGCGGCTGAAGCAGAGGGGCGGCTTGATGACGAGCACGTTGTCGTGCGGCCCGTCGATCGAAGTGAGGATGCGGTGCTCGTCCTTGAGCCGCGAGCACAGCCAACTCGTCTCGGCGGCCGCGGGCTCGCGGGACGCTCGCTCGCGCACAAACTCGACGCCTACCGCCAGAGCGGGCTCGCTCAGAGCAACGAGTCTCGCGCCTCAGTCTCGCGCCTCGGCGGACTCGGCTCTCGGCGCGCCGATGAAGAGGCCTGCGCCGCGCACGTCCCCGACGACGGCACCGTGCGACGCCTCCTCCGCCCGCAGCGCCTGCAGCGCCGCCCGCAGCCACTGCCCCGTCGCCGCCGCGTTTGCTCGCAGCCCGTCCCGCTCGATCGCCTCGAGGACGGCCAGCCCCGCTGCCGCGCAGACCGGGTTGCCGCCGAACGTGTTGAAATACTCTGGCCCGGCCGCAAAAGCATCCGACACCCGCCGCGTGGCGACGACCGCGGCGAGCGGCATCCCGTTCCCCATCGGCTTGCCCATCGTCACGATGTCCGGCGCCACCCCCTGCTGCTCGAACCCCCACCTACAGGACCCACTCGCGCGGTGGGCGTCTCGCCGGCCAGCGGCTCGCCGCCCCCGCTGCTCGAGGCCCGCCAGCAAGTGCCGAAGCGGCCGAGCCCGGTCTGCACCTCGTCCGCCACGCAGACGCCGCCCGCCGCGCGCACCGCCTCGTAGCAGGAGGCGAGGTACCCGGCGGGAGGGAGGAGGACGCCCGCGACAGACATGCCCGACTCGATGAAGAAGGCGCACACGCCACCCTCGCCCTCGGCGGCGCACGCCTGCCTCGCCCACGGACGGGTCACCGACGTGTCGTGGACGTGTCCTGGGCACCTCCTCGCCGCACGCCTCTGCGACCGCCTCTGCGTACCGCCTTCCTGCGTCGGCACCGCGGTGCGGGCCGCGGAACAAGTCGGGCGCCTGCGGCACGAGGGGGGCGCGGCAAGGGCCCGGAAGGCTCAGCGAGGGGTCGGTCGGGCGGGTGCGGCCGCGGCACGAGTCGTCTGCTGCACCGGGCACTTAGTGACCCACTCGGGCTGGCCTCGCCCCCCAAAGGAGCGATGGTCAAACTTGTACGGCGACAGACCGATCACCGCCGACGTGTGGCCGTGGTAGGCGTGCTCGACGACCAGGCAGCGGCTCGCGCCTACTCGAGGGCGGCTCCGAGAAGGTCCGGCGAGGGCTCCAGGTCGGCGTCCCTCCGGCGAGGCCTCCGGCTCGCGCGCCGCGTGTGTTTGCCGCGCGGGCGAGCCGGAGCGCGAGGTCGTTTGCCTCGGAGCCGGAGTTGACGAAGAAGACGACTCCGTCGCGGAGCGGAGCGGGCATCGTGTCGAGCAGTCGGCGCGCCAGCTCGCACACGGTCGGGTGCAGGTACCGAGTGTTTGTGTTGAGCGTCGAGACCTGCGCGGCCACGGCGGCCGCCACTGCCGGGTGAGCATGGCCGACGTGCGCGACGTTGTTGCGCGTGTCAAGGAAGCTGCGGCCTCGCTCGTCGATCAGCCGCGCGCCACGACCCTCGACGACCAGCAGCGGGTCCGTGTTTACGTACGAGACGGACTGCGCTGGACAGAAGTCTCGCCTCCGCGCCTCGAGCAGCCTCGCCTTGAGGCCCACCGCCCGCCAGCAGCGCCGTGCGAGCCAGCGTCGCGCCGCCCTGCGCGCGGAGAGCGCGGCGAGCGCGAGCGCAGCGCCTGCCGCCGCAGCAGCCAAGCGACCATGCCAGGGTGTCGTCATTTTGAAGAAAAACCGCGTGCGGAGAGGCCGGGGCCAGGCTGCCCACCCGTGCTTTCTTTTTTCGGCAGTGAAGACAGCGAAGAAGGACCCGAGAGACTCCCCTAGCTCTCTCTCGCGGCATGGACCTGCGCTACTCCTCCACCGCCCCACGCACAAGTCAGGAAAACAGATGTGCATGTCTCGCCACACTCTCGCCCTCGCCCTCGCGGAGGAACGCCCACGGACGAAACGCCTCTCCCCCTCGCACGCGTGCCACAAAACGTGTGCCCGCCGCCGGCCCCCACGCCTCACTCTGCCGCGCTCCATCTGGCGAGGAGGCGGCAAGATGGCGGAGGGGAGGCCTCCCCTCGAGGGCGTGCCCGCCCAAAGTCAGCTCACGCGGGCTCGCTGTCGCTGGGCTGCCGCGAGTCGAGCACGAGCGACGCGTAGAGTGGCCGGTGATCGCTGAGCCACGTGCCGGCCAGCAGCTCCTCCGCGCTGCCGCCAAAGCTCCACTCGCCGACTCGGACGCCGCCGGCGGCCGGCTCGGCAGTGGCGACGAGGTCGCAGGCCATCGGCGTGCCCAAGTGGCTCAGATGGCTCACCCAGTCCGTCTCCCCGGACATTGGAGCGAGCTCGGCCGACTGGAGGAGCTGCGAGACGGCGGGGTCGTGCACGTCCCCGTTCAGGTCGCCGAAGAGTGCCAGGTGGGGGGTGCTGGAGCGTTGCTCGCGCACCCACGTCGCCAGCTTGCGAGCCTGGTGTCGGCGCATCTGCGGGTCGTGCCCATTGGCGTGCGGAAAAGTGAGGTGCGTGTGAGCCAGCATCAGCCGGTCGCTGCACCCGGCCAGCTGCAGCGTCACGCACTGCAAGATGCGGTTGCCCCAGTCATCGAACGAGTAGGTCTCCATCGACGGCAGCCCGGCGAGCCGTCGGCGCCGCACCAGCATGCAGCACCCGTCTGGCTTGCCACCGGTGCGCGGCGAGACGAGCATGCAGTAGCCCTCGCTCGCCGCAAAGTTGCTCCACGCCTCCATGTGCTCTTGCTCGAGCCAAAACTCTTGCAGCCCGATGACGTCGGCCGCCGACTCACGGACCAACGCTATCTGCGCGAGCGCACGGCTGCGAGACGCCTGTTCGGACTCTCGTGGCCGCTTGTAGGGCGGAGCAAGCAGGTTCCACGAGAGCAGCGAGAGCAATACTCCGTCGCGGGAGGCGCTCGGCCTGTCGGCTGCGACGGCGCCGTGAGTGTGCACTGCGCTCCCGTAGCCGCTGAGGTGCTTGAGCTCACCGGCAAACATGGCGTCTGCGACCATGTTCGAGGCGGCGCACGCGCGATGTACGCTCGGCGGTCAGCCACAAGAACCTTCACGAAACGTCTTTTTCCCTCCCCCCCACCCCCCCCTCACGCTCCCGCGCCTCACATCCGCCCGCCGGAGCGAGGGGCTCTAGTCCTGCTTGGCCGCCTTCACCCCTGCGTGTATGACGTTGTCGATGAGCCCAAAGACGGTGAACACGCCGCCCACCACGGCGCAGAGCTGCGTCAGGTAGTCGCCGAACGAGCCGACCGCCTGCCTGTGCACGACCCGCAGCGGCGAGATGTCGTAGCTGAAGACCGTCTGCGGCACCAAGGCGCGCGGCTCGAGGTCCTCGCCCGCCACGTGCATCGCGAGCTTCGCCTCGTGCGGAGAAAACTCGTTGAAAGTGGTCGAGTACTGGTACGAGTCGAGCGGCGCCGGCGCGGCGCGCATCACGCTGCGGGTGGGCACGACCTTGAGGAAGTGCTTTAGGGTGGTTGCCTGCCGGTGCATCACGAAAGTCTCCCTGCGGAGCTGAGACTCGCCGACGCCGTGGCCGCCTGCGTCGGGGCAGACGAGCTGGGCTCACGGAGGCAGTGCGACGGAGGCAGTTCAAAGCCGCCTCTCGCAGGCCCCGGTGCTGCGCCGTAGAAAGAGAGCGGTGAAGCTCGGCAAGACATCTCGGGGCCAGTCTCGGCTAAGTCGCGCCGTCGATGACGCCGAGAGAGTGGTGCATCGTGCGGGCCGCGCCGTTGCGCCTCGGCACCGTCCTCCAGAAGCGGGCCTAGGGAAGGCGTTGAGAAGGCTCCGGGGAGGGTCTGAGCGAGCGCCTCGGCACCGCCCTCCGGTAGGGAGCCGCGTCGGAGAGGTGCAGCCGCTCTCCCGCGTCGTCTCCCGGCTCGAGGAAGAGGAAGGAGTCGACGTGGTGCGTCACGTTCATCGAGAGCGGGTCGAAGGAGTGCAGGTGCGACTGCGCCGAGATGCGCAGCGTGCCAGGCACGCGGGAGACGCGCAAGCGGCCGGAGACCTGTACCAAGGCAACGGAGCCTCCCGAGAGGTGCTCTCTGCATCTCGGAGAAGACACGGCAGGGGTGCGAGAGGGACGCACCTCGCACCCCTCGCCCGAGATGTGCGTCAGGTGCGTGAGCGGGTGCCAGCCGAGCTCCTCCTGCTAGCGAACCCGCAAGACTGAGCCACGAGGTCACAGGGGAAGGAGGCGCCAGCTCGAGGTGTCGCCTCGTGCATGTCGATCGCCTCGTGCAGAAACTCGACCAGCGCCTGCTCAGCACGAGGAGCAGGTCACGCTGCCTCACTTCCCATTTGCCACCGCAGCTCCACCAGCGCCCGCTCGCGGCCGGACGTGTGACGGGGCCGTGTGAAGGGGAGGCCGTGTGAAGGGGGAGGGCGCGGCGCAGTGTCTCGAGGGGGAGGAGGCTCGCCTCTGCAGACCACCTAGGAAGTGTCTAGGAAGTGTCTAGGAAGTGTCTAGGAAGGAGGAGGAGGCTCGCCTCTGCAGACCGCTCTCCCTCGTACTCCTCGTGCGAGTGCTCGTTGTGGTGGCGGTAGATGCGCACCTGCAAGGAGGGGCGGGGAGCAGAGCCGAGGGCCAGCACAAGTCTCGCCAAGGTGCCGCTCCTCTCGGGCTCCTCTCTGGCTCCTCTCTGGCTCCTCTCGGGCTCCTCTCTGGCTCCTCTCTGGCTCCTCTCTGGCTCCTCTCGGCTCCTCTCTGGCTCCTCTCGGCTCCTCTCTGGCTCCTCTCTGGCTCCTCTCTGGCTCCTCTCGGCTCCTCTCTGGCTCCTCTCTGGCTCCTCTCGGGCTCCTCTCGGGCTCCTCTTGGGCTCCTCTCTGGCTCCTCTCTGGCTCCTCTCTGGCTCCTCTCTGGCTCCTCTCGGCTCCTCTCTGGCTCCTCTCTGGCTCCTCTCTGGCTCCTCTCTGGCTCCTCTCGGCTCCTCTCGGGCTCCTCTCGCTCTCGGGCTCCTCTCGGGCCCTCGCGGGCTCCTCTCGAGGTCCTCTCGGCTCCTCTCGCCGTCGGGAAGGCGGAGATGTGCATCCGCTTGCACAGCTCGCGCGAGGAGGCGTGCGTGCAGTCGACGCGAGCGATGCCGACCTGCCCACAGCCATAAGCTTGCGCTCGTCGTGCTCGGCTAATCTCGGCTACATCTCGGCTAGAGCTCGGCTAGATCCCGTCCGTCCGTCCATCGGTCTCTCTGTCCGTCTCTCTGTCCGTCTCTCTGTCCGTCTCGCGCCGTCTGTGAGAGTAGCCCGTCCATCTGCACCAGCTCGTGCGCCTCCTCGAGGACAGGCTCCTACCAAGACACTTCCTAGACACTTCCTAGACACTTCCTAGAGGACAGTGCGCCTCCTCGAGGACAGGCTCCTACCAAGAGCAAGACTCGCAATCATGGCTGTGTGTACGAGACCGCCACTGGCCGCCCCTCGACGGCGCGGCTATCTTTCGCGACCAGGGGCACCAGGGCTTATCTCGGCTTTATCTCGGCTATCTCTCGGCTAGACGGCTCCATCTTTCGCGACCAAGGGCACCAGGGCGCGCCTACCGTGTCGGGTACCGGTCAAGGTCGAGTGGTCCGAGCGAAGGGCCCCCCTCTCCGACCCGGCGAAGGGCGGCACGGCGCGCCGAACGCCACGAGGGAGAGCTCCTTGTCCAGCAGATAGTCGTCGAAGCTGACCTACGGGACATGTCGCGGACATGTCGCGGACATGTCGCGGACATGTCGCGGACGTGCCATCGAACAGGCGTCGTCGGCGCGTACCGTGCCGGCGGGCGGATCGGGCGGCGCCTCGACGCCCGGGTCGCACACGCCGCACGCCTTTGCGCAGTTCTTGTGCATGTAGTTTGCGTTCTTGTCGCACTCGCCGCCCTTCGCCCAGCTCGGGCAGCTCTCGTCCAGGTCGACGCAGGGAGGCGCGTCCCCGCTGGCACCCTTCGCACTCCGCGCCGCCGCAACCGCGGGGTCCGGGAAGCTCGTCAGCACGGGGACCACACCGTCGGTCGAGGAGAGCTGCCTCCCGACCTCGCCGCCCGCCTCGCCCGCCAGCGCCGCAACCTCGCCCGGCTCGTCTGTCCAGACCTCGGGCGCCGCGTCGGGGAGGTGGGAGCCGTCGAGGGCAGAGAGGCGCGTCTTTCGGATGGAGAGCGTGATGTTGAGCCGCTTGGTGCCCGTCTCGTCAAAGAGGTCGACCGAAGCAAAGCGGCAAGGCAGCCGCTCCATCGTGATGTTGAACGACACGTCCACCGTGGAGTCGGCGGGCCGGTCTAGCATGAGCTCCGTCTGCGTCGGCGGGACAGGGCAGGGCGTGAGGGAGGGACGGTTGGGCCGTCTTGTCCAGCCCTCAGCGCACTTTGACGGTGGCGGTGCGGTAGGTCTGCGTCAGTGAAGCGACCAGCAACGCCGTCACGAGCACGCCGGTGATCGAGACGACGCCGCCGAGCCAGGTGCCCTCTGTGATTTCTTTTGGCACCTTCTTGAAGAAGTGAGCCGACCTCACGCGCGTCGCAGCGCCCATCACTCACAGCAGCACTGCAGCGCGTAAGAGGCGGGCAGCGGATCCAAACATTTGGCATGGATATTTCTTTTTTGATAGTACTAGCACGCGCCAGTTCGCACCTGTGTCGAGCCTGTGTGCTGTGAGAGAGAGTTCTTTTGTTTAAATTCTTTTTTCATTCTCAAGTCTTAGTTGTTAGCAGAAAGACACAGAGCTCACACAGAAGTCTGGTGAGCTTGTATACGTCGTCGTCTTCTGTCTCGCGTCCACCCAAAAGAGTACCCGGGGCTCCCCATGCCTCCCTGGTGGGGGCCCGTGAACATCTTTAGCTTGTGTGAGCCAATGGACGGACGGAAACGGCGCCCCCTTTTTATGGCGGACCACCCTGGGCATGGCCTCTCTGGGGGTGAGCGGCCTCCTCCGGGTCTGCAACTCGCACGGCGGGTCCGCGTCCGGGCAAGCATCCGAGGCCCGCGGTTGTCCTTTCGCTGGGCGCAACCGGCATGGAGATCTGCTGCCCACAGATCAGTGCTTTTGTCGACTAATGCTCGCTCTCTGTGCACTCGCAACGCCAGAGGCCGTGCTTGGAGAATGCGTCGCAATGCTGCTGCGCCTGTGGATTGAGCGCACGCTCCATCGGTGAGCTGCGGTGGCGCGCCGGCCGCTTCATGCATAGCTCTCCGGCGAGCGGCCGCGAACGCGTTTTCCGTCCGCCGTTTCATCGAGTTTGCGTGGTAAAAGCAATCGAAATGCATAATCGTCGAATCTGCCCGAGTGGTAAAGTGCAACTTTGGCATTTGGTAAAAGTTGCCCGAGTGGTTGGTGGGGGAAAAAACCAAAGCATATGGTGGCCCCAAGAGCTAAAGGTCAACATCCCCTCCGGCTACGACAATGTGAACCTGATCTGGTCCTCACGGGGTTGACCCGTCTCCTCCAGATCGAGACGGACTTCATGAACGGCCGAGCAATATTTCTTCATTAATATTATTAATTGATGCTTTTTGCACGGCTGAGCCCCCCCCCCCCCCTCCCCCGGGCCCATTCCCTGCCCGCTCTCCCGCCACACACTCCGTCAGAGCCCTCTCCCCTCTTGCACAACAGGAATTTTGACAATTAACCAATTGGTGCCGGGGAGAATCACAAAATGAATACTGATGGGCTTGCTCATCCCGGAGAGGTTCGACTCCCACAAATCCGAGACGGTGATGGGAGGCGTCGTACGGTGGTCTCAGGCCCAGTGTGAGGTAGTGCATCTGACTATCCCGGATCCTGCTGAACAAGCTCCTCTTGTAGCTCGATCGTCACACCGCCATCGCCGTCGGGGAGAGGGGGGACGACACTGCTTCTGCATACTACAGTCTGCACCGAGAGTTCTGTGCAGGTTCTTCTAGCATCTATCTACTATCCCAACTCCAGTCAGGGCTGGTGGACTAACGTTAGCACACCTCAGGGGGAGCACTGACTACAGCTGGGCGCCCCGTTCCGTCTGGGGCTAGGTCGGCTCAGGGCCCCGTCCACTTCCCTCCCACTTGGCGCGTGATAATGGGGAGATGCCACCCAGGCCAGCCAGGGCAGGGGCGGGGGCGAGGGCGGAGGGCGGGATGGGCGCCAAGCGGGAGGGAGCGAACGGAGTGGAACGCACAGATGGGGGATGGCGAGGGCGGAGGGGCGGGGAGCGGGGAGGACGGCGGGAGGGTGGAAGTCGGCATGGGCGGGCGGTGGGTGGTGTGGTAGGGCGGGGGGGAGGGCGAGGGGTGGAGTAGGGGGGCGGTGGGGGCGACGGGCGGCGGAGGAGAGGGTGGTGGCAAAGGGGTGGGCGAGGTGGAGGGCGGGGGGGCGGCATGGGAGAGGTGGAGGGCGGCGGAGGCGTGGGCGAGATGGAGGCCGGCGGAGGCGTGAGCGGCGGCGGCGGCGGTGGGAAGAAGGTGGAGGGTAGCGGCAGCGTGGGCGAGGTGGAGGGCGGCGGCGGCGTGAGCAGCGGTGGCGGCGGTGTGGAGGGGGTGGAGGGCGGCGGCGGCGTGGGCGGTACGGCGGCACGGCGGTAACGGACGGCAGGGGGGGCGGCGGGCTAAACGGCAAGGGCGGCGCGGCACGGAGGAAGGAGCGGCACGGCAGGGAGGAGCAAGGACGGCGCGGTAACGGCAGGATCACGGATAGGCGTGGCACGGATAGGAGCGAGCGAGCGGCTAGGTGGCGGGAGGGCGAGGCGAGGGTGGCGGCGGGTGGATCACGAGGGGGTAGAAGGTCTGGCGCGAGCGGGGGAGCGAACGGCGAGCGAGCGGCTAGGCGGCGGGGGGTGAGGGTGGCGGCGGGTTGATCACGAAGTACCGGTAGAAGGTCGAGCGCGAACGTGTGAGCGAGCGGCAGGCGAGCGGCTAGGCGTCGGGAGGGCGAGGCGAGGGTGGCGGCGGTGGATCACGAGGAAGTAGAAAAGGTCGAGCGCGAACGTGCGAGCGAGCGGCGAGCGAGCGACTAGACGGCGGGAGGGCGAGGCGAGGGTGGCTGCGGTGGATCATGAGGAAGTAGGAGGTCATATGCGTTTTCGGGTTCCGATTCGTTTCCGATTCGTTTCCAGTTCCCCCTCCCTGACGAAATCTTTGCCCTCTCCTTTTTACATACATAGATAGTCCTGCGCGAGAATAACGTGCACAAGCTAAGAAAAATCCCGAACACCCTTCGGAGTCGCTATTCATCGCAAACCCTGTCCGCAGTCCACCTTTCGGGTACGTAAAGAGCCACATACTACTGCAGCGAAAAAGCTGCTTCTTTTCTCGCTTCGCTTTGAGAACGTGCGTCCCTCCGCCCGCGTCCGTCCGACGAGCAGACTCCGCCCGCTCGCGCTCACTCACCGTCGGTGCTGCACCTGCACGCATGTTCGGGTTCGTTAGCGACGCGTTTGATCATGCGAAGGGAGCGGTTGAGGATGCGGCGAGTCAAGCTGCTCAGGCGTGGGGCATGCCGTCCGAGTCTCCTTCCTCCGGGGTAAGACATCGCTTTTAAGCTGTGCCGCCTTGTCACTTGCTGCACAGGCCATGGAGGACGCGGCTAGCCATGCAGGCGATGCTGTCGGCGGGGTGGCAAGCGGCGTAGGCGACGCACTTGAAAGAACAACGCTTGCGCTCAGGTGGGGCCGTGATTTCCTAGTGACTCGCGGCCCCACTCCCGCAGGCAACTACAAGTTTGGCGACATCACGCGCAGCGTGGTGGGAGAAGACTACCAAGTATGGTAGAAGTACTGCCTCCACAACTACCCATACACCCCGGCCACTGTTCTGCTCCGCCTGCTCCCTCTTCGAACGCCCTACAAGGGACTGTCGCACGCCATTGCGCACCTCCACACGCAGCAATTCCTGCACCTCACGCCGCCGGTCCGCCTCCCCAGTTTGGCGACATCACTAAGAAAGCGCTCGGGGCGGGGCGGGAAAAGCTTGAGGATGCGGCCGACGCGGCGCTTTCAGACTGTGCGACAGGCCAGACACGCCAGAACAAGCGGATGAGACGGGCACGTGGAGGACTGTAGGCGAGCGAGGCTGTTCCGGAGGCGATGGCAGGGGACGACGATGGGGAGGAGGAACAGGCGGGCTGCTCGTTGCTCTTCAAAGAAGCAGCCGGACTCCACCGCCGCTCCCCCCCCCCCTTCTCAGACGCTGCGCGACTTTTTGGGGCTGGGACCGCTGAGTCGTGAGGAGAAGCAATGTGTCCGAGAACTTCTCGCCGAGGTGCCTCGTCAAATGTCGGAGAGGGAAGGGGAGAGCTGGGACCTGGAGTGGTCGAGCCCTGTAGGCGCGCAAGAAGCCGACGGACGGCAAAGCGCAGGCCAAGGGCGAGAGCTCTGAGGAGGCGAGCCTCTCCCACGCTAGACACCGAGCTCGCCCGCAGCGCGGGACAGAGGTGGAAGTAGGTGATGGGAGCGCCCCTAGCGAGGGGCCCCGGCGGTGCGCCGCAGGTGAGAAAGAAGTTGCTGGCGTGCAAGAAGCTGCACGACGACGGCCTCATCAGCGAGGCGGAGTGGGAGCGGCAGCGCCGGGACGTTTTGGGACTCGACAAGTGATCAGGGCGTTGGCGAATGCGCGTCGTCGGGGGCGCTAGCACAGCAAAGGCCAGCGGTGATCGTGTGGGTTGTGCTTGCGATTTGTTGGAGGGTAGTATTGGCGAGAAGAGGCCGTGTCCGCGAAAAGCAAAAAAATATTTTTCGGAGAGCGCCTGAGAGCCCGGTGAATGAGTAGGTTCGGGTTTGGGTGTTTTCAGTGTGTTTCAAGCGAGCCAGCCTGTGGCAGAACACTTCGCTTCGCGCTGCAGCGCTTGGGCCACCGCCCTGGCCGTGAGCGAGCTTTTGCCGGCCACGGCGGCTACCAAGAGGATGGGCCCGGGCTCTGGCGCCGCGAGCACGGTGCCACCTCGACGTGAGTAGGCCCTGAAGCCGCCCGGCGCTCGCCGCGCTGCCCACGCCAGAGACTGGCTTGCTGCCGCACCACCTCTCGTGACTGTACTAGGCGGGACGGAGGTCGACACTGGTCAGCACCGCGGCTGGTGACGCCGCGAGGCGCCCGCCAACTCTCGGCGACGGTGAGACGGTGCAAGATGTGCAGCTCTCGGCAGACGTCGAGGCGCTCGAGCTGCGGTGCAACGAGCCGCTCCGCTCCCGTACGACCCGCTTGTACAGTGACAAGTGGCACGGTTCGCTCCCGTCTACACGCTCGACTTCCTCACCAGGGTGCGCCGCTTGCGCGCACGCACACCTTTTGCCCGCCGCACACGCGCACCCTGCCACAGACACGTCGATGTCGCGCACTGCTCAGGTGGGGCAGACGTTCCCAGGCTCGACGCCTGGGAGTGTTGTCCTATCATCCGCGCTCGTCGGCGACTCGACCGACTTCCCCAGCGAGAGTATTGCGAGCAACAGGGTCGCCTCGGCGGCTTGAGCTGCGCAGCGACAGATCACTCCTCACCAGGCAAGCTGCGGCCCGGACGGCCGCGTCTCGTAGTTGCACACCCGTGGCGACTACGTTCCCGCGGCGGTGACAATGTCCCGTGTTGACGACGGGAGACACTGGTGTCACGCGCCGGCTTGCTTGCGGCTCGGCGCGCGCGCCGCCGCGCGTGGCGGCCGCGTGAGGCGTTGCACACCCTCGTTCGGGCGTGTGTCGTGGCTGTGTTATGTGTGTTTGGTCCTTGCCCCCAGATTTTGTCTTTTTACAATGGGTACTCATGGGGAATGATCGCTGGCAAAAAATAAAGAAGTCGGCGAGCGGTCAAAAATGCGGACGTCCACACCGCAGGTTTCGCGCGAACCCACCGCGCATCACGGCCGCTGATACCCAGCGAGAGCTCGGCTGCTCTCCATGGGATGGGGTTCTGGTGCGGGCAAGGGCAAGATCCTTGCCCCCGCTGCCGGCGACCTGGTTCACGTCAGCGCCCACAACCCGTTTGACGGCAAGATGGTGCTTACCGACATCTCGGGCCTCGCACACAGGGCGTCGAAGAAGCAGCCGAAGCAGGTGGCGCAGGAGGGAATCTCGCAGCGTCAGCAGCAGTATGTGATGCAGCACCTCCAGGGCATCTATGCTTTGGGTGGCAAAGTGTGTCTCGTCCTTGATGGCCGTGCGTACCCGCCAAAGAAGAAGGAGCGCGAGAGGCGGCGCGGGACAAGCCAGCAGGCAGTCGATGAGGCGCTGGCAAAGGAGGCGAGGAACGAGGACGCCTCCAAGGAGTGGAAGGCTGCTGCACGCCCCGCCGAGCCACTCTGGGCGTGGCTGATGCAGGAGTGCATCGACAAGGACATGCCCTTCATCGTTGCACCGTACGAGGCAGACGAGCAGCTCGTGTCCCTGCAGTGGGAGCTGGGGGTGGACCAGGCGGTGATTTGGGCCGCCTCAGAGGACAGCGACCTCGCTGCCTTTGGCGCCCTGGAGGTGATTTACGACTGGAACATCATGTCGCAAACGTACCGCTCCTCCCGGCTGATGGAGCAGGTGGTGGGCAAGCAGGTAGACAGCAAGTTCTCCTTTGTCGGCTGGAACTACGACCGCTTCCTTGCTCTCGTCATTGCCTCCGGCCACGACTACTTCAAGCACAAGAAGGCGGAAGGCAAGCAGGGATGGGGACTTGTGACCGTCTAAGTCGCGAGGAGGACGGGAGCGGGGTGGACGTGGCGGACGTGGCGGACGTGGCCCAGTCGCCCAACTAGACATGACTAATGAGTAAAAAAGGGAGTCACAAAATGAGAAACACATACACCTCACACACCCGACGGCGGCTTGAGCACTGCGCAGTTGAGGTTGTGGAAGCCGATGGTCCACCACCACACGTAGTTGAGCAGGGGCTTGTCCTCCTCCTTCACGACGTCGCCGAGCATCTTCCACGCCTTCATGCCAGAGAAGGGCACCTCCACCACGTAGCGGCAGCACGTCACGCCACGGTTGCGGATGCCCTGGTCGATGGTGAAGCGCGGCGCCTTTCTGAGGAAGCAAGGAATTATCACCTCGTTGAGGTGCGGCAGGTGGACGCGCAGCTTCGAGACACCCTTGTCGTACATGACTGAGAACTTCGCCGGCATGCGCTCAAAGGCCGGGATGCACGCCTTGCACGCCTCGTGCTCGGAGGAGCGGCCCATGAAAAGGTCGGTCGCGATGATGATCTGGCCATTCGGCGTGCACCACGTGAGCCCCATCGCCGCCGAGTGCTTAGACTTGTCCGAACGGAGGAGGTTGGACGTCATGATGCTCTCGCGTGAGGTCTCGGTCATGATGTCGGTGCAGTCTCCGATGGCAACCACGGTGTCGAGGCCGCACTCCTTGAAGGACTTGGGCAGCAGGTCGAGCACCGTCTGGTAGTCCTTGGGCTCGATGACCAGGTTCTTCTTCGCAAAGCGGCCGAGGCGACGGATCCACCGCGAAGAGTCTACGCTCATTCGCGGGGCAAGGAGGCCAAAGAAAGAGGCGAGCTCGTCGATATCTTTATATCCCCGCATTCGCCACAGGGCCGCTAGGAACTGGAAGCGCGGGTGCAGCGCCGCCTGCCGCTCCTCCCTCGCTCGCCGCACGCCATCCGTCCTCTCGACCCACCGGTACACCATCTCGTACACCTTCATGGCCTCGTCCCACGAGTCGAAGCCAAACATCTTCTTGAACAGCCTCGAGCGCTCTGGAAGAGCAAAGTACTCGGGTCGCAAGTTGGCAAAGCTGAGCTGCTCTCGCAGAGGCCATGCGCGAGGAGGGTTGAGCGGGTTTGCATCGGCAGAGTACTCGAGCCCGGCTTGCGACGCACGAGAGACGACGTACTCACGGAGATGCTTCGAAGATTTTCCACCCTTGTCGGGCATCTCCACCGGTGGCGGCTCCTCAATCGTCAGTTTGACATCGGCGTGCATAAACCCGCCAGGCACAGTCGAGGGCGGAGGGATGACCATCAAGGTCGTCGCCATCGAGTGCGGGACCTGTCCAGCTGGCACCTCAAAGATGATTGGCTGCTGCGGTGGCTGCCAATCCTTGGGCACAGGCACCCGCAGTCGCACGGTCTTTGAGGACACGGTCGGGGCGGGAGGTGGTCCTGCAGGTGCGCTCGAGTCTGGCCCAGCACCCTCGCCCTCACCCTCGCCCTCCTCCTCCGCCGCCGCCTTGAGCTCGCGCGTCTGGCGCTGCAGGCGCTTCACCTCGGTCCTCAACTTATTGACGCGTTCGGAGCGCTCTACGGTGTTGGCGACAAGCCTACGCAGGCGGGAGAGACGCCACACCTCCTCATCCCCGTCGAGGTCGCGCGTGAAGTCATCACTGTCGGCTGTGGCACGCCACCGTCTGAGAGGAGCAGAGCCAGGCGGCCGCCTCGGCTGCACAGCAGGCGGCTGAGCGGGACCCGTGACTGTCGCGTCGACAAAGAACTCGTCGCCCTCAAGCAGCACCTTTGCCCCAATGATTCGCTCCGCGGGTAGCTCGGGCCGGTGCGTACCGCACAGCTTGTTCTGTTTCTGGGGCAGCGGACGTGGATTCCCGTCTTTTGTGAAGCTGAGGCCCATCTCGTGCTCCATGATGTACGCGGCATCCTCCACACGGGAAGCAGGGATGCTCTCAAGGCCTACGGTGCACTCGCAACCGGCCACCCAGCACTTGTCTTGGCCGGGCTTCAAACTCTGGCGCCGCTTCCTCCCGGCGTCGCCAAGGGCTCGGCGGGCTGCCTGAGCGTAGGAATAGGTGAGACTCGGCTCGTTGGCGTCATCACCGTCGAGGCCGATCCCTTCGGCGGCTGCGGCGGCGGCACCGGCCTGGAGAAGGCCCTGCATGGAGAGCAGCCGAGATCTCGCTGGCTTTCAGCGCGCCGTGATGCGGGTGGGTTCGCGCGAAACGTTCAAAGGACGGACGTCGCTTCTTTTTTGCGTCTCCCAGTGATCATTCCCCACGAGTACGCGAGTAGCAAACATTCATAAAAAGACAAAATCTGGGGGCAAGGACCAAACACACATAACACAGCCACGACACACGCCCGAACGAGGGTGTGCAACGCCTCACGCGGCCGCCACGCGCGGCGGCGCGCGCGCCGAGCCGCAAGCAAGCCGGCGCGTGACACCAGTGTCTCCCGTCGTCAACACGGGACATTGTCACCGCCGCGGGAACGTAGTCGCCACGGGTGTGCAACTACGAGACGCGGCCGTCCGGGCCGCAGCTTGCCTGGTGAGGAGTGATCTGTCGCTGCGCAGCTCAAGCCGCCGAGGCGACCCTGTTGCTCGCAACACTCTCGCTGGGGAAGTCGGTCGAGTCGCCGACGAGCGCGGATGATAGGACAACACTCCCAGGCGTCGAGCCTGGGAACGTCTGCCCCACCTGAGCAGTGCGCGACATCGACGTGTCTGTGGCAGGGTGCGCGTGTGCGGCGGGCAAAAGGTGTGCGTGCGCGCAAGCGGCGCACCCTGGTGAGGAAGTCGAGCGTGTAGACGGGAGCGAACCGTGCCACTTGTCACTGTACAAGCGGGTCGTACGGGAGCGGAGCGGCTCGTTGCACCGCAGCTCGAGCGCCTCGACGTCTGCCGAGAGCTGCACATCTTGCACCGTCTCACCGTCGCCGAGAGTTGGCGGGCGCCTCGCGGCGTCACCAGCCGCGGTGCTGACCAGTGTCGACCTCCGTCCCACCTAGTACAGTCACGAGAGGTGGTGCGGCAGCAAGCCAGTCTCTGGCGTGGGCAGCGCGGCGAGCGCCGGGCGGCTTCAGGCCTGCTCTCGTCGAGGTGGCACCGTGCTCGCGGCGCCAGAGCCCGGGCCCATCCTCTTGGTAGCCGCCGTGGCCGGCAAAAGCTCGCTCACGGCCAGGGCGGTGGCCCAAGCGCTGCAGCGCGAAGCGAAGTGTTCTGCCACAGGCTGGCTCGCTTGAAACACACTGAAAACACCCAAACCCGAACACCCTCATCAGAGAGCACAAATGCTGACACCGGCAACGGGCAACAAGCAGCCCCCCTCGCCTGCGGAAGCCACATTGTCAACGTGTGACGCGACTGTGACGCCGAACGATTTCCTCGCACGCGATGCGCCTGCGGCGGAAGCGATGCGGCATCTCTCGGCTCCGCGTGCCGTGAAGCAGGCTGGACTCAATGGCGTGATGGCGGAAATCGTCGTCGCTCGCTGCGTCTTCCGGCACCTCGACCTGTACTCGGCTGGCGCGCTCTGTGTTGCTTCCATGGAGTGCGGAAAAACCGCGAGCAGCTTGTGCCTGCAACCCGAATTCTGGGAAGGACGCGAGCAGGAGGGCTCTCGCCCAGTGAGCCCGATGGCCTTCTTCGCCGCGAGCGCCTTCATGCGCCTGCCTCCGCACGTGCTCACCACGGCGGCCTCCGGCCTCGAAGACATGCTGCTTCGCGAAGGCGCACGAGGCCGGAAGTGGTACCGCGGGCTTGTTGGCGACGCCAGTCTCGTTGCGATCGAGGCCTCTCTCGGACACATCCTCCGCCGAAACGTGTCCTGGCACAGCTCGCAAGCGCTGATTCAGGGCGCGTCGCCGTGGCGGGCTGAGGCGATCGCGCGCTTCTTCCTGGCGTTCTGGCCCGCGGACTCGCCCTACCCACGGACGGAGTTCGACTCGGAGGTCTTGGCTGAGGAGTTTGTCCGGTTCTCGCGCGCCGCCGGCATTGTCGGGGATGTGAGCGACATTGGCGTTTTCCGCGTGATCAAAGCGGTGCTCGCCAGTGGCAGTGCCGGCGACGACGCTGCCCCGTGGGCGCCTGAGCCCAAAGCGGCATGGGTCGCCAGCCTGCTTCTCTTCCCGACCCCGCCTCGCGCCGTTGACCCGGCTCTCACCTTTTCGCTCGCGGACGTTCTGCCGCTCGGCGCGAGCCTCGGCCTCAAAGGCGACGACTCCGAGGCGCTGGAGAAGCTGGTGCGCGAGCTCGGCCAGAGCTGCGACGTCCCGCGCGCGGCAGACGCGCAGCAAGTGGAGGATGCGCCGGACGAGGAGGAGGAGGAGGAGGAGGAGGAGGAGGAAGAGCTTGTTGCCTTCACCAAAGCCGAGCTGCTGCTCCCCGAGGCGCCGTCGCCGCCCCTCTCGGAGCACGACGCGGACCTCGTCGAGCCGCCTCCGCCACTCGAGTTCACCTGCCTGCCGTACGCTGGTTCCAGCGTCGCGCTGTGAGCCTGTGCGAGGTGTGAGCGAGTGAGCTGTGAAGGGCCGTAGGGCCCCCGGGGTCTATCCAATGAAGAAAGAAAAATAGTGCCGACAAGCGAGCCTGAAGAAAGAAAGCCTCGGCGCCTGGGGTCGTCTGGCCTCGCGACGCCAAGCGCCCCCGGGGGACTCTCTTGCGAAAGTCGGCTGCCCACGCTGCGCGTCCTATCTCTGACCTAGAAACACAGAAAAATATAAGAAGGGAGGGCTGGCGTACGAGTCGTAGTAGGTAGGTAGGTAGAAAGGTGAAGAACAGCCAGGCTCGGACAGTCGTAGCAGATGCTGCCAGAGACCTCGAGAGTGGCGTCCTCTACAAGCAACGCGCCGCGCGAAAATACGTGGGCCTGGTCGGCGCTCTGGTCGGCGCACGAAGTGCCAGCCGTACCCACCCTCGCCGGCTGCAGTGACTGACATCAATGACCGAATGCCTGAGTCCGGCCGCAGAGGCGCCGACCCGCTTCACCGAGGCGTCGGCCGAGGCGGACCTCGCCTGGTTTAGGTCTCAGTGTGCGGCCGACGAGGCAGCTTACAACGCCCGCCTCACGCTGCAGCCAGCGCTGCGCCTCTCGGTCACGGGAGAGCAGACTCGTGCCGGTCACGCCGACGTGGGCAGCTTTGCTCGCCGCCTCGAGTGCCTGCGACCAGAGGGTGGCAGCTTCGTGGGCCGGCACGAGCCGCTGGCTCAGCGGCTGATCTCCGGCCGCGCTTGCCCTCACGCACTGTGCGACCCGTCCAACTGCGGCCTCCACCTACGCGACGCGGTCGTGCTGCCCGAGGAGGCGCGGCGGCTAACCGCGCACGGCCAGGAGGTGATCGAAGCGGAGGACGGCGCCTCGGCGCACCGGCCGCAGGGCGACCTGCTCTACATGCGCTCGCGCCGAGTCGACTTTCTCGAGATGGCGACGCGAGGCTCGCAGGCCGGCCACCTCCTCACGCTCCGCGTCACGGAGCGCCTCCGCCGCATCGTCGCCGCCATCTTTGGGCTGCCTCGCTCGCACCTCGTCCTCGCCGAGCACTTTCTGACGCTGCGCCAGCCCGGCCCCTCCCTCGAGGCGAGGATGCACTGCGACGAGGCGACACTTGCTAAGCAGGAGACCCCGTCCGCTCGGCCCCGGGGATGGGCTGGGTGTGCGGGTGTAGGCGGTCTTCCCGCACGGCGAGGGCGAGAAGAGCCGCTGGCAGCGCACCGCGGACGGCCGCCTCGGGCGGGGGAGGTGGTGAGCCACGAGCTTGGATCTAGGCGCTTCCACTTCTCCTCGGTGCTCTGGCTGAGCGGCGCGGGGGTGAGGGCCCCCACGCCGCGGCACGCCTCGTAGGGCGCGAAAACGACGGGTGCCTCTCTCGCGGTAGGCGGACTTTGACGGCGGCTCCCTCTCCTTCTTCCACAACTCGACGCGCCCGTGGCTCGAGGTGGAGCCGGCCGTCGGGCGCGCCGCCTTCTTCAGCAGCGGGTGGGAGAACACGCACGGCATCCGCAGGCTCGAGCGAGGCAGGCGCTGGGCCCTCACCGCTATGTTCATGGAGAGCGGGAGCCGGCCGACTCAGCGGCGAGGAGAGCGCGCGAGCGACGACCGCATATTTGCCATCTGTAGGCGCAGGACCCGGGCGTGGAGCCGCTGCAGCCGGGTGCGGGGTTCGCGGCGGCGTGCGTCCGGCCTCGCTCCAGAGCTTCGTACGCGATGTGCCGCCAGCAGTGGGCGACGGCGATGCAGGCTTGAGGACGGGCGAAAGCCGGGCCTTTCGGCGCGGCCGGATGGAGCCACCCAGATTGTCTGGTGACTATAGACTAAAACACGCAGTGTCGGAGCGGCGGGTGTGTGGCGCTGTGTGATTGTGTGGGCAGCGCGAGCGACGAGGTGTGCCGCGCAAGCCGAGCGGCATGTCGGTGCCGTGATGCCCATTGCCGAGGGGGCGAGGCCCGAGCGGCGTCCTCTAGACTCTACACTCTCTCTAGACTCTCTACTCTATCGGTATCGCGATCTCTGAGCTTTGTATCATCTTTTACATCAGCTAGCATCTAAAATTACACAAAGGCCGCCCCGCCCAGCTTGTGCACCTCTGGCACAATCGCACAATACGACACAGACCGGACCGCCGAAAAGCGCGGGGTTTTTTTGAGCCCGGGTACGGGTCTTTTTGTATTTTGGACCCCGATACATACAAACGTGCCCCGCCTCCACCGCGAACCGCCTAATACCTGTACTTGGTCGAGTAGTCTTTCGGCGACACCTGAGGCGCAGTGGCGGCGGCGTCGGCGGGCCGTGGAGGGTTCGGAGAGGCGGGGGAGGGAGGGGCGGGGAAGGAAAGAGGAGGCTCGAGGGAGGCGCACCACGAGGCCGCGCCCCTTCCGCGCTCCGCGGTAGACCGTCTCGATGATGTCGATCACCTCCTGCTTGTCGTGGATCGCCCAGTTGATTTTGTTGTTGTTGCCCGTCCCCAAGTCAATCATGATGTGCTGCGCGGCGGCGGGCGGCGCGGCGGTGAGGAGAGGGCGGCTCCCGCGGGCGGCGTTGTCGCGGGCGGCGCCGTCGCGGGCGGCGGCGCGACGCCGGGCGCGCCTTGTTTCTGTAGAAGAACATGACGGTGCACGGGTCGTACAGCTCGTACATCGTGTTGAAGTCGGGCACCTCTGTCGTGTCGACGAGGTAGACGACGCAGTAGTTCTTGACGAGCTCCGCAATCGAGTACAGCACCTGCGGGTGCGGCCGGTACGGGGTGGGCGGCGCAGCGGTGGAAGCGGTGGCAGCGCGGGCGCGGGCGGCTGGGTCGGCAGCGGCGGCGTGGCGGATCGCGATCATCGACGGCGGACCTCGTCCATCTGCATGCAGACGGGGTCGTAATCGTGCCCGAACCTGATGCAGACGACGCGCGCCTCCTCCGATAGAATGGCCTGGTCGACCGCCCACCCCGTCGTCAGGTGGGGGAGGAGGTAGGACATGTAAGTGGGGAGAGCCTAGGGGAGAGCCTAGCCGCGCCGGCGAGCGACCTGTGGAGAAAACGAGTTCGGTAATCGCGGCGTTGTTTTCTTTTCTCCCTGGTTGAGCTGGCTCAGGGTGGCGACTGGAGCATGCTCGTCGCGAACGAGGCCTCCCTCTTGGACTGGCTCGCCGCCGCGCTCGATCCCATGCGCGCGCCTCCTCCCTATTGCGGTGCCCACCGCTCGCCCGTCCCATCGCGACAGCTCACCCCCCGCGCGCTCGCGGCAGTTGCGGCGACGCCGATCCGGCGGTGCTGGCCGAGTACGTGCGGGAGCTGCTGCGCAAGGAGGACAAGAGCGACGCCGAGCTGCGCGAGTACTGCCGCGACAGCCTCACCGACTTCCTCTCTGGCGAGACGGACGCGTTTGTCGAGAGCCTCTTTGACGCAATCGCGAGCGGCGAGTACGAGCGTGCGGTGGGCACGCCGACGCAGCGCCCTGCCGGGCGGGGGAGCTCGTGCGAGAGCTGGCGGCTGAGCGAGGGTGACGCGTCCCAGCCCGACGCGGGCGAGGAGCCGCCTGCCGAGCACGACGCGGAGGAGGCGGGTGCGGGTGCGCGAGCGGCGAGCAAGCAAGACTCGGAGAGTGACGAGGAGGAGGAGGAGCAGGAGCGCGACTACAAGCGGCAGCGAAAGGCATCGGCGGACGAGGCCGAGCCGCCGGCCTCCGCCGGCGACGGCTCGCTGCAGCGCGGAGGGCCGCACGCCTCCCGCCTTCCCGCGGCGCAGCACCGGCAGGGCGGGAGGCTTCCGCCGGGGGCGGTGCCGGGCTTGGGCGGCATGGGCGCGCCGCGCTGCGGCTGCGGCCCGGGAGGGATGATCCCGCCCGGGATGGGGCAGCCGGGGATGCAGCCGCACATGCCTCCGCGGGGAGGGGCGCCGCCCTTTGGCTTTTGCGGCGGCGGAGTGCCCGCGTGCGGCGGCGGCCTCGGCCCCGGCTGCTTTGGGCCGGGCGCTTCCGGGGCGCGGGTCGCCCCTCCGTTGGGGCTGGGCGGCGGGATGGGGGGGTGCGGCATGACGCCGCGGATGGCGGGGGCGGGCGGGCCGCCGCTGCACGCGCCGCTGGGGGCGCAGCGCTTCCCGATGCAGCAGCAGCAGCAGTTTCAGATGGCGCAGCAGCTGCAGCTGCAGCAGCAGCTGCAGCTGCAGATGCAGCAGCGGATGATGGCGCAGCGGATGGGCCCTCCCGGCGGGATGGGGCCGCCGCAGATCGCGCCGCAGGCGCAGGCGCAGCAGATGATGCAGCAGATGATGGCACAGGCGCAGATGCAGCAGCAGATGCAGCAGCAGATGCGCGCGCAGGCCCAGATGGCGCAGGAGGCGATGCTGCGCCAGCAGGGGCGGCAGGGGCAGCAGGGGCAGCAGGGGCAGGGGGCGGCCGTGTCGGCGGCGCGGCCTGCCCCTCCCGCCGGCGGGCACCCCTCCGCCGGCGGCGCCGACGTCAACTCGGAGCTGCACTCGCGCATCGCGGCGCTGCAAAAGAGCCTCGCGGCGCCGGCAGCAGGTCTCGCGGCGCCGGCAGCAGGTCTCGCGGCGCCGGCAGCAGGTCTCGCGGCGCCGCCGACGCCGGCGTCGCCAGCTGCGGAGGGCGCCGCCGCGCAGGGCGGAGCAGACGGTGAGGCGACCGCCGCCGCCCCGTCGCGGCACGCGGGGGGACGAGGCCGCGGCGCAGCAGGAGGGCTCGAGGGCTCGCCGCTGCTCTATGTGGATGGTCTCGTGTTGCAGCCTGTCGTCTTGCAGTAGGCTTCGAGGGGTCGTCGCTTCACGTCGGCAACGTGCCGCGTGAGCTGTGCGACGTCGGCAACTTGATGGGCCACTTCGGCAAGTTCGGCCGCGTCCTCAACGTGACCCTCCTCCGGCAGACCGTTCGGCCGCCCCCCCTTGCGCCCCTCCCCCGACCCTCGGAGCCGTGCCGCAGGTGAAGCTCTACCCCGAGGCGCGGTACGCCTTTGTCGACTTTTCGTCGCGCCTCGAGGCGGTCGCGGCGCTCGACGCGCCCGAGCCCGTGATGGGCCGCCCCGAGATCCGGCTCGGCTGGGCGACGCGCCAGCCGGCCGCCGGCCGCGGGGGCCACGCCTCATGTGGCAAAGGCGGCGGCGCGGGGGCTCGAGGCGGCGGCGAGGCGGCGGAGGAGGAGGGGGCGGCGCCGCCGCCCAAGGGGCCGCACGCGCGCGCGCCGCCGCCGGGGGCAAAGGTGGCGCAGCAGCGGCAGGCGCAAGCCAAGAAGAAGGCTCGCGCGACGTAGCGTGCTTAGCCAGAGGCGTAGCGCCAGACGCTCGATTGACAAGCGGCGCCGACCCGCGCGCTACCCGCCTCTCCCTCCCCGCACTCGCCGCCGCTCCCGGTCCTGCCGGTCCTGCGAGGCAGCTTGCGCGGCCCTCCCACCACCGTGCTGCACCCCCCCCCCCCCCTCCCTCCTCAGGCGCGGCAAGAGTCGCTCGCGGAGCAAAAGGCCTCGCAGAGAGCTGCGCGAGAGGCGCCTCCCGCGGGACATGTCCAGGACATGTCCACGAGACGTCCACGCCCCGCCCCGCAGGCGCTGATCGCAAAGATCGAGGGCGGCAAGGACCTCTCCAAGGAGGCGCGCGCGGAGATCATGGCGCGCCTCAAGGCGCTCTCCACCAGCCTCGAGGCGCGCCGCCTCACCCGAACCCGAACCCAAACCCGAACCCTAACCCTCTCCACCAGCCTCGAGGCGCGCCGCCTCGGCCGCACTCCCGTTGCCGCCGCCTTTAGCCCCCCGCCACTCCGCTACCCCCCCCCCCCCCCCCGCACGCGTCCCTCCAGCAAGGGAACGCCTCCTAACCACCCCGCCACCCACCCGCCACCCCCGCACAGGCCTCCCTCCAGCAAGGGAACAACGCAGTGACCACCAAGGCTGCCGCCGCCGCGACGAGGCCAAAGCCGGCGGCCGACGCCGAGAAGAGAAGCCCGGCGGCGAGGAGCCCCGCCCTCTTCGCTTCGTGCCCCGCTCTGCGCGCGACGGCTCCGAGCCCGGGCCAGGCGGCTCTGCCAGCGGCGATGGGCGCGGCGGCGGGCGCGGCGGCGGGCGAGGCTGCAGAGGGTGGCGAGGCGGCGGCGTCTCTGCTCGGACGCGGCGACCTGCCTCCCGTGGCGGCGGGGCACCCGCTGCTGCTCGAGGCGCAGCCTCCCCCCCCCCCCTCCTCCCGCCCTCGTGCGGGGGACTGCGAGGCCGCGCTCTTACGCGGCTGTCGTTGCGGCGTGCAGGCGGCGACGAAGCGGACGTGCGAGGGTGGTGGGGCTGCTGCGGGGACGAAGGTGCGTGCTTGCTCTGCGGCACACCGCTCGAGAGACGCTCCCCCTTGCGCGCGAGAGACGCGCGAGAGAGTTGCGCGCGCGCAGAGAGTGCGCGGCCCGCGGCGCACCGCCCGTCTTCGCCTAGCCGCTCCTAGACACGCCCGTCCTAGGCTCTGCATGCCCACGCCGAGACTCGAGCGCGCCCAAGGCTTAGCCCCTCCTCCCAGACGACCGCGTGAACCCCCCGCCCCTCGTGGCGTCTCCCTTCTCTGTGGAAGGCAGCCCTCGGCCACTCTGCCCAGACCTTCAGGATGGTTATGTGGTGTCGCATGTACAGGAGACCTGATGTCGCGTGAGGACCGCGCCGCGGAGACATTTGGTCACCTCGTTGGCGGCGGCGAGGCGCACGGGCGGTTAACAGGCGGCGCGGGCGGCGGCGGCGGCGCATACGGTCCAGCGGTTGTTGTATTCTTTATCAGTTGCTTCAGGAGAGGGTGAGTTCCCCCGGCTCGAAGACAAAAAGCGCCGTAAAAAACGACTGAGCACGCTGAAATCTGAATGAAGTGTGGCGCCCCCGACAATCGTCAGGGGCGGGGAACCCGCAATTTGAGATGCTGAGGGCATTTTGAGTTGCAAAAAATCAATTTAGATTGCATTTTTCAATTCAGAATGCCGAGTTGACTTTTCGCATTTCAAGATGCACACCGCATTCCAAAGATGGTCCACGCATTCCAGGATGCGTCGACCATCCTGGAATGCGAACTGCATTCGTGAATGCGCTAGCATCTGGAGTTACCCCTTTGCATTCTAGGATGCTCCTTGCTATTTCAAGTTGCCTTCCTTCACCTGAGATGCCCAGCATTTTGGCCAATGCCGCATGTCGGCGGGGCATCGGGTAGGCTGCGGCTCGGCCTGCGCCTCGGCAGTCGTTGCCGCTGCGCAGCTGGATATGGTGGCGCACGTGGCGTGGCCTGTCGTTTGCATGTTTTGCGGTGGCAGCCCATAACCGCACGAATTGTGCATGGCCCTCAGCAATCCGTGTTCGATCGGCAACGCCCGTGCCGCTGCTCTGTGTCTCGTTAGAATAGGCAATGAAAAACGGCGCCCGCTCTCGTCGCATGTGCGCCGGTTGACATATCATGTATGTGGCTCTTTTATGGATAACAAGGAGTCTCGTTTTCAACTTTTTCTTCTTGTATATGAGCCCGCAGCCCGCGGCTTCCTCGCGCGTTTCGCGCTCCTTAACGGTCTCTCTCTCGCCAGCCCTCAACTGTTCAGTAGAATTTGCTGCAACTGGGCAGATTCATGTGGTATCATGCTGTCCTCATCAGGTGTCTGTGCCGCAGCGTAGGCGAGACTCTAATCTCTATGCCTCGGCACCCCATCGAGGCAGCTCGCGAGGTGAAGCTTGCCAGCAAGGGTATTGTTGCCTACACCAGCAGGCAAGGGAGCACTATGGTGTGAGCCTGCCAGCACTGGTGCGCAAGCCAGATCAGTACAGTCGTACCGGGCAGCAATGAAGCGCGTTGGGTGCCCGCGCCGGATGCAGTGCTAACGCGGCAAGCTTGGGCCGCATCAGCAGATGCGTGAGGCGGTGCGGAAACCGTTGTTTCAAGGCCACCTGGTAGGCTCACTCCTTCCCATCCCAGAGGTAGAGGGCAAGGAAGGTAGTCGATACCCTCGCCACAGATGGACATTTTCATTCAGTGTTATGTGCTACTTTCAGATACGTAGGAGGACTCTGCTGACGGGGTATTTTAAAGCCCAAGATAGAAAGAAGCAGGATTGTAACGCCCTCCCCACGCACATTGTTTTCCGCACTTTCCGCATATTCCGCAACGGAATGTAAACGGCAATTTGGGCAATTGTCGGAGTCTCCCATTCTGTAGCGTCAAAGCGCAGCTGCCTCTGGCTCGTGGCGCATGGTGCATCCTGCCCGCTCCCCCGCAGCTACGCTGCTGGTGATTGATGTCGCACGCGCATGCCCACCCTCACGGCACCCACGCCATACCCGCGCGCTGACAACACATACCTGACATGCGCACTGCACCGACATCCAGCCAGGCTCCCGCGTCGACGTTGACGCTAACGAAGAGAGGCGCGTTGAGCCGGCGCAAGGAGCACGTCTCACTCACACCACCACTGACGGCCTCCCACTTCTCGGCCGCAGCTTTTCACAACGTGGTACCTTCGGCTCCTCGTCGCTAGCATCATCAGCGAGTACACCCTGCCTCTCGCCGTTTGCCCTGGCGAACGTGGCCGTGCTGATTGTCTACCGCCGCGTGGCTGTGCGAGATCTAGACGTGCACACCCCGCACGCCACTCGGCTGTGCTTGCGCAGCAGACGGCGTGGGCGGCTGCGCAGGCCCCTGGCCGCGGAGGAGGAGGCTGGCCCGTCTGGCGGTGTGCTGGCGGTTGGAAGTAAGAGGGAGAGGGAGAGGGAGAGGGAGAGAGAGAGAGAGAGAGAGAGGGAGAGAGGGAGAGGGAGAGGGAGAGGGAGAGGGAGAGGGAGAGGGAGAGGGAGAGGGAGAGGGAGAGGGAGAGGGAGAGGGAGAGGAGAGAGAGAGTGAGAGAGAGTAAGAGTGAGAGTAGAGAGAGTAAGAGGAAGAGGGAGAGGGAGAGGGAGAGGGAGAGGGAGAGGAGAGAGTGAGCGGAGAGATGGAGAGGAGAGTGAGAGGGAGAGTCAGAGGGAGACTTAGAGAGAGAGGGAGAGGGAGAGTTAGAGTGAGAGGGAGAGTAAGAGGGAGAGGGAGAGAGAGGGTGAGAGGAGAGAGAGGAAGAGGAAGAGGGAGAGGGAGAGGGAGAGGGAGAGGGAGAGTTAGAGTGAGAGGAGAGGGAGTAGCGGAGAGGGAGAGGGAGAGGGAGAGGGAGAGGGAGAGGAGAGAGTGGGAGGAGAAAGAGTAAGAGGGAAAGGAGAGAGTGATACGGAGAGTAGAGTAAGAGGGAGAGGGAGGGAGGGAGAGTAGAGAGAGTAAGAGTGAGAGTGAGAGGAGAGATAGTCAGAGGGAGAGGAGAGAGGGATAGCAGAGGGAGAGGGAGGGAGAGGGAGAGGGAGAGGGAGAGTAGAGAGAGTAAGAGGGAGAGGAGAGAGGGAGAGGAGAGGGAGAGTGATAGGGAGAGTAAGAGGGAGAGGAGAGAGGGAGAGGAGAGGGAGAGTGATAGGGAGAGTAAGAGGGAGAGGGAGAGTAAGAGGGAGAGAGGAGAGGGAGAGTGAGAGGAGAGAGGGTAAGAGGTAGAGGGAGAGAGGAGAGGGAGAGGGAGAGGGAGAGGGAGTAAGAGGGAGAGGAGAGAGTTACTAGTAGAGGGAGAGGAGAGAGGGAGAGGAGAGAGGGAGAGGAGAGAGGGAGAGGGAGAGTTATAGTGAGAGGGAGAGGGAGAGGGAGAGGGAGAGGAGAGAGAGAGCAGAGGGAGAGGGAGAGGAGAGGAAGAGGGAGAGGGAGAAGAGGGAGAGGGAGAGGGAGAGTAAGAGAGAGAGGGAGAGGGAGAGAAAGAGGGAGAGAAAGAGGGAGAGTGAGAATAGAGAGAGTGAGTGGGAGAGTAAGAGGGAGAGGGAGAGGGAGAGGGAGAGGGAGAGGGAGAGCTCGCCCTCCACGCGGCGCACCATTGGGGGCGCTGCGGACTATTAGGCCTCGTCGCACATCGCGCGCATTCTGGATTGTCTTATTTATCTGAGATTAAAATATCCATTTGAAAATGCTTGCCACATCTCGGGGATGGCGACGCCAATTCAGCCATCCTGAGATGCAGCGCCCTCCGGCCAGCATCTCAGGATGTAATGGCTCAATCAGGGATGTCGTGGACATCTTTGGTTGCCTCAGGCATCCCAAGATGCATGAAGCAATTCAGGATGCGCGAAGCAATTCAGGATGCGCGCGCATCCTGAATTGCTTCATGCATCTTGGGATGCTCGAGGCAATCTCAATTAAAATGGAGATCGTATCGGGCAATTTGAGATGCCGGAGCATTTCAAATTGCGGGTTCCCCGCCCCTGACGCTGGGTGGCGCCCGCCGCCCGGAGGCGGAGCCCGGTGAGACACTGACATCCCCCCAAACGGAAAGAAAACAGACAGCACAAGTGCCACAACGCCAAACTAGGGATGGATGGGAGAGAAGGACAGAGTCCCCACCTTGCAGAGCAACGATCTTTTGTCATCTAGGAAGGACGATCAGGGGCACAAAGGGAACAACATTGCTAAAAATCTCTCTCAAAGGGAACGGAAGTGGGGAAGCGCGCATCGGCCATCGCGAGACACGGAGAGCGGGCTGCGGGGCTTGGCAGGGTTCACACCCACACGACAGGTCCAAGGGAGTCCACACCACCTCTCTCGTATAGGACAGATTGCACCCGGCGGCACGGGGGCAGAAGGCGCGCCCCCCCTCCTCCGATTGCGCTCTCCTAAGTAAGTTCTTATGCTCCTCTCTCTCCCCCTCTGCCTCTCTCTCCCTTAGGGACAGCGGCAGGCTCGCAGCTCAGTGCTCGACTGGCGATCGCTCTCTCTCCACTTAGAGCGACCTTCCTCTAGGTCTAGCTTGGCAGCCAGCCGTCCGCAGCACACACACTGTGTGGAGGCACACGCAGGGTCGGCGACATAGAGTCTTTCTCGGACCCAACGGTAATGCTGTCACCTTCGTGAGTACTCCTACAGATGGCGGAGTAGATTGTTGGGGCATGAAATTCTTTTTGTTCCGACGAAGGTTCGCCAAAGGCGACCCTGCATCAGAGGCGGCGCAGCCCTGTCCTCGCCGCGCCCGACCCTCGGGAGGCGAGCCCCCGCCGGTCCGACCCCCGCAGGCGACAATCCCCCAAACGACACCCGCGGCGAGATGGTCCTCGCCGCCTGCTACGGCAGCTGCGCCTGGATCCACGCGAGATCGCAGAGCGCCTCCGGGGCGAGGCGTTGGCGCGAGCGATGCTCTCAAAAAGGACATGAGGATGCGGTTGTGCCCAAACTCGAGAGCATGCCCATCGCGCAAAGCATTGCGGACGGCGTGTGATGCGCTGATACCGGCGATGTACTTGGTCTTTGTGCAGGCAATCCGTTGGATGAGGTTGAGGCGGAGATGTGTGGTGTTCGTGACGCAGTCAGTGTCGACGATGGTGTCGTTGCCCTCCTTGTTGTGGTGCACGGGGGCGAGCCCCAGAGCCAGCCCAGCGCGCGCGACCGAGGTCGCCCGTGGCGCGTGGGCGAGTAGACGAGCGACTTGCTGAGACGCTGTCGAAGACGCTCGTCCCCCTTCTCCTGCGCCTCGAGGAGGCCCTTTGGTGCGGAGTAGGCGTCGATGACTCTCGCAAAGTCGTCGTTCTGGCAGATGTCATCCGCAAAACCGTCCGATGAGGCGTGTGGTCGGGTTGTCGTGCTGGAGACAGCGTGGCAGCTCGTTGAGGAAGCAGACGCTGAGGATGGTGGAAAGCGCGCGTCCTTTGATGACCCCGCGGGCGGACTTGGCGAATGGCGTAGCCGGGGTCGTCGTAGTCGGGGCACTCCTCTCGATGGAGAGCGGGACGGTCCCAATCGGCGGCGGAGTAGGAAGCCAACTAGCCAAGGTCGTCGCCGTCGGCGTACAGCGCTCTTCACTCTACATCCTCTACACTGATACTACACCCTCCCTCCGAATACAGAGCCCAGACTTGAGCCAGAGCAAGCGAACGGAACGCGCGCATCGGCCATCGCGAGACACGGGAGCGGGCTGCGGGGCTTGGCAGGGTTCACACCCACACGACAGGTCCAAGGGAGTCCACACCACCTCTCTCGTATAGGACAGATTGCACCCGGCGGCACGGGGGCAGAAGGCGCGCCCCCCCTCCTCCGATTGCGCTCTCCTAAGTAAGTTCTTATGCTCCTCTCTCTCCCCCTCTGCCTCTCTCTCCCTTAGGGACAGCGGCAGGCTCGCAGCAGTGCTCGACTGGCGATCGCTCTCTCTCCACTTAGAGCGACCTTCCTCTAGGTCTAGCTTGGCAGCCAGCCGTCCGCAGCACACACACTGTGTGGAGGCACACGCAGGGGCGGCGACATAGAGTCTTTCTCGGACCCAACGGTAATGCTGTCACCTTCGTGAGTACTCCTACAGATGGCGGAGTAGATTGTTGCCGCAGGAAATTCTTTTTGTTCCGACGAAGGTTCGCCAAAGGCGACCCTGCATCAGAGGCGGCGCAGCCCTGTCCTCGCCGCGCCCGACCCTCGGGAGGCGAGCCCCCGCCGGTCCGACCCCCGCAGGCGACAATCCCCCAAACGACACCCGCGGCGAGATGGTCCTCGCCGCCTACGGCAGCTCGCTCTCGCGCGCCAACACCGAGGAGAGCTCGCTCGACACCCTGGTGCGTCGGCAGCCCCTTTTCCCTTCCGCGTCTCCGCTTCCGCATCACAGCTCGCAGTCTGGCGCCGCGCCGCCACGCGCGCGCGCGCCATCCGCACGCGCCGCCACCCTGCTCTCCCGCTCTCTGCCCCTCCCAAGCCCGCGCACCTGCCGGCGCAGACAAAGACCACCATCCCGTACAAGGACCAGGAGCGCAAATGCTCCTCGTTCCCTCCGCCGCTGAAGGACATCCGCTTCACGATGGCCACGTACATCACACTGACGCAGCTGCTTGGCTTTGCGGGCATCTTCTTCGTGCCCTACTGCAAGGCGCGCGCCGCCCGCTCGAGATGAGCGCGCGGCTGCTGCGCACAGACAAGCTGCGCACAGACAAGCTGCGCACAGAGATGCGTCGCCCTTGCGGCGAGAGCGGCGCGGGCGGAGCGCACCGCGTCCCACGCCGCCGCCGCCGCCGCCGCGCCCGCGCAGGTCGCCACCATCTGGTGGGCCTTCATCCTCTGGCCAATCACCGGCTTTGGCATCACCGGCGGCGCGCACCGGCTGTGGGCGCACCGCAGCTACAAGGCGTCCTTCGCCTACCGCTTCGTCGTGATGCTGGTCAACTCGTGCGCCAACCAGGGCACCATTTTCCACTGGGCGCGCGACCACCGCACGCACCACTTCCACTCGGAGACGGTGGCCGACCCGCACGACGCGATCCGCGGGTTTTGGTTTGCGCACATGGGGTGGCTGTACCTCAAAAAGGACCCGCGCGTGGCGGAGGCGGGGCGCAAGGTCAATGTGGACGACCTGAAGGCGGACTGGCCCGTCATGTTCCAGCACCGCAACGACCCGTGGTGGAACTTTGTGTGGTGCTTCTTCATCCCGGGGTTTGTGGCGCAGCTCGCGTGGGGCGAGACCTTCTGGAACGGCTTCTTCGTGCCGGGCTGCCTGCGGTACGTGTGGGTGCTGCACTGCACGTGGATGGTCAACTCGGGCGCGCACCTGTGGGGCGGGCGGCCGTACGACCCGCAGAGCAACCCCGCGGAGAACAAGCTCGTCGCCATCCTCTCGATTGGCGAGGGCTGGCACAACTGGTGAGCGGCGGGCCCGCGCGCGCGAGCGAGCCCCGCGCCCGCGCTCCTCCTCGCCCCCGCGCGCTCCCCTCGCCTCTGACCGCGCGCCTCCTGGCGACCGCCGCCTGGCGACCGCCGCCTGGCGACCGCCGCCTGGCGACCGCCGCCGCGCCCTCCGCCGCCGCCGCTCGGTTGACACCGCCCCGCGCTCTGCAGGCATCACAAGTACCCCTTTGACTACGCCGCCTCGGAGTACGGCATCCTGACGCAGTTCAACCCGACCAAGCTGGTCATCGACGTGTGCGCCGCGGTCGGACTCGTCTCCGACCGCAAGCGCGCCACCGCCATGTGGAAGCGCGAGCGCTCAAAGATGCAGCAGCAGGCGAGCGGGCGCAAGTCCGAGTGAGTTGATATCGCGCGGGCCCCGCGTGCCCGCCGCCTCCGAGGGCGCGACAACCGCCCGGCCTCTGCATGCAGCGCAGCGCGCGTCGCGGGTTGCGGGGCGTGGCGCCCGGAGGGGGAGGGCGGCGCGCGTTGGGAACGCGCCCGCCGCCCCGGCGACCGCAGACGAGAGGCGCGGACGCACTGTTGTCGAGACGCTCGAGAGAGAGAGAGAGAGGTGTTCTTGTACGGGCGGGGCGGGGCGCTCGTCGCGCGGTCGCGCGCCGGGGGTCGAGTTTTGTTAGATTATCGTAGAAAGACGAGAAGAGATCGGACGCCGCGCGCGCGCAGCGACAGAAATCTATGCTCCGGCCACCCGCCTCCCCCGGCTTGCCGGTTTGCCCCGGGTCCGGTGGGGCGGCTTCGCCGCCGGGCGGCGGGGCGGGCCCGGGGGCGCCGCCGGGGCGCCCTCCCTTCCCTTGTGTCGCGCATCGCGTTTCCCGCGGCGATCCGACAAGGGGCGTGAGAAGAAGCTGACGCCGCGGCCATGCGTCGTACACAGGACCTTCGAGCGGCTGGAGAACCCCGACCTCGGCCGGCCGCCATCCGCGAATCACGTTCCGGGCTGGGCGCCTGCTCGCCTGGCCCTGGCGATCGCAGACGGCAGACGAGCCCCGAGCCGCCGAAGCGGGGGGGGGGGGGGGAGGCGAGGAGGCGAGGAGGCTCTGTGGCGCGGCGGGCGCTCGCCGGGCGCTGCACGCACCACGCGAGCTCGCCTTGCAGCCGCGCACGCGTAACAGGCGGAGCCGTGCATCTGTCGCCTGGCCACGCGGCGAGTGCCGCTTGCCGCCCGGACGCGCCGCAGTCGGCGAGCGCGCCTCGCGCGCCGCAGCCGCCGCGAGTCAGTCTTCCCGCTTCGGCACGGACCGCGACGCTTGCAGCGAGAGGTAGATGGTCCAGAGGAAGGAGGCGACGTTGTAGCCGAGCGGGATCCACGCGACGGGCGCGAGGCGGTACAGCAACAGGTCGACAAAGGGCCAAAAGCAGAGCCCGCTCGCCCATGTGACGAGCAGGTCTTGCCGCACCTGGGGAGGAGGGCGAGGCGAGGGAGGTGGCAGCCGGGGAGAGGAGCGGGCGAGGCGGGGAGCGGGCGAGGAGAGCACCTTGCCCGGCAGCCTGGCGAGGCCGGCGGCGAGGCCCTGCACCGAGACGAGCGAGGCGGCAAAGAAGACGCAGGTGATGGTCGGGCCGAAGAGGCACTGCCCGAGGAGCGTCTTGACCAGCGTGTCTGCGATGCTGCGGCCGGGCACGTAGTGCGTGAGCATCGCGAGCCACCAGTGCAGCGCCGGGCCAAAGTAGAGGAGGCCGACCAGCGCGCTGGTGAGCGTGCGCTTGGCGTCGCGGGCGCCGCCCTCGATGCGCTGCGCCGCCCGGTCGCTGAGCGCAAAGACGGCGGACGCCGTGGCGCTCTTGGTGAGCACGGGCGCCGAGGCGAGCGCCGTCGCGTAGGCGGCGCCGAGCGAGGCGAGGCTGCTGGCGGCGGCGGCGCCGCCGCGCAGCGCGAGAGGCGAGCGCAGCGTCGGCGGCGCGAGGGACGGGCGAGGTGGCAGGGACAGAGCGAGCACGAGCGGCGGGCCGAGCATTTGACGCTCCTTTGTCGGCCCGATGTGTCCAGTCCGCGCAGAGGAGTCTCTCGCGCGGCGCCACGCGTTTTTCTTTTTGTTTTTAGTCGGTTTTTTGTTTTGATTAGAGGCACACGCACGCTCTCTCGGGGCCTCCAATCGCCAGGTTTTTTGTACTCTTTAGCTGTCGTACGGGACGCATTTAAAGGGGCGTTGAATTTTCTTTGATTTTCTGTTTCATCGCCCCGGCTGACGACTCAGCCGCAAAACAAAAACGTGGACGATCTAGATAGTGTCCCATCGAAAAACTGAATCGACCCTACCAGGACTCGAACCTGGAATTTCTTCATCCGAGGTGAAGCGCCTTATCCATTAGGCCATAGGGCCGTTGACTTTCGAACCGGCAGCCACTCGATCGAGGCAAGGCGCTCGAGCGGTCGTCCAAAGTTCGTGCAAAACACCTCGTGAAGGGACTTTGGTTGCCCAAGTGTGTGAATGTTTTTTTTTTTCATGGTGATGGTGAGGTGGGGTGGTGATGTGGGATGGTGAGGTGGGATGGTGATGGTGAGGTGGGGTGGTGATGGTGTGATGGTGAGGTGGGATGGGAGGCGGGATGGTGATGGTGAGGTGGGAAAATGAATGAGATTGGGGGGGATGGTGATGGTGAGGTGGGATGGTGATGGTGAGGTGGTGACGGTGATGGTGGGGTGGCGATAATTGGTGATGGCGAGGCCAATCGGTGACGGCGAGGCCAATCGGCGACGGCGAGGCCAATCGGCGACGGCGAGGCCAAGGCCAATCGGCGACGGCGAGGCCAATCGGCGACGGCGAGGCCGATCGGCGACGGCGAGGCCATCGGCGACGGCGAGGCCAAGGCCAATCGGCGACGGCGAGGCCAATCGGCGACGGCGAGGCCGATCGGCGACGGCGAGGCCATCGGCGACGGCGAGGCCAATCCGAGAGTTGCACGGCGCTCGCACGTCGCCCTCTCCTCTCGAGTTGCACGGCGCTCGCACGTCGCCCTCTCGGCCGACGATGACGACTCGCCTGCGGAGAGGGGCCGGGCCCTCGCACTGCTGCGGGTTGTGGGGCATTAGGTAGCCCCACTGCCGCTCCTCGCGGTCTCGCTTGGCCATCCGCTCTGTCGATATCGTTCCGCTCGCTTGGGCCTTGGCGCCTAGGCGATAGCCGTCACACAGATTTTTTTTCTTCTCGGTGCGATAGAGAGAGATTTTTAGCAATACCAAACAACTCTAACACTCACACGTCATTTGGGGCCTGGAGCCCTGTTCACGCGCGCGCGAGACGTGCAGACAGGGTTGCCAGGTGAGAGCGAATGGCGCGGTTCACGCCTCGCACAACAGAGAGAGAGATGCGCTCTGCATGGTGGGACATAAAAGAGAGCGAGTACTTGGGCGAGTAGGCCGTGCGGTCGACGCTGCCGCGCGCGACTTTGCGCGCGAGGCGGCGCAGCTTGAGAACGGCGGTGGGCGAGAAGCCGCCGCCGAACGTCTCGTGGAGCAGCAGGTTGAAGTTGTTGCGCTTGACAAAGATCGCGTCGTGGTAGAAACCGCGATGCGCCTTGACGTAGCCGTGGCCGTTCTTGTGGTCGAAGGGTTGGCCGGGTTGCCCGCGCGCCTTGCAGCCCATGTTTAGGCGGCGGGCCTTCTCTTCGGTGTTGCCGAAGGCGTAGGAGTGGCCAACGGAGGCGGGCGTGCCGCCGCTCGAGGCGTTGCCAACGCCCGCCGAGGAGGTCTTGAGGAGGGGCGTCCAGAGCTTGACTTCATTCACCTCATCGCATCCTCCCGGGCCAGCGTGGGGTTCCGCGAGGTCGACCTTGTACCCCTCGTTGTACTGCCGGGTGAGCTCTGGTTTCTCCTTGTCGCCGTGCACGACCGGCGCGTTGGCCGGGGCGCGCATCGCGTCCGCCCAGGCGGCGAGGACGCCGTCGTGGGGCCGCCGGTGGTGGGCCTTGTTGTAAAGGTAGTCGCCGAAGAAATCGACTGACATGCCCCGCTCGAGCGCGACCCGAAGGGTGGGAAGCGCCATGCAGAGCCCGAGGGGCCTGCAGCTGACGCCATCGTCCTTCCAGAGGCAGACGGCGTTGAGGTCGTCCTCGAGCCGCTTGAGACGCTCGTGCATGACACCCCAGCCAACGGAGGTGCAGAAGTTGAAGAGGCAGTCCGCCCCGTCGGTCGACTCGGTGATGATGCGGACGAGCTCGTAGTCGACTTGGGTCGGGCCGCCCTTGCGGGCGCGAGGCAAAGACTTTGCGAACTTGTTGAAGAACTTCCTCTTCAGTTCATAGCGCGCGACGCCCGGTTCGTCGGCGGTGACACTGGCAGGCGGGGCCCGCGCTTGCGGCGTCTTGCCGAGGTAGTTGGCGACGACCTTGGGGTCGCGGCCGTCGGCGGGCGCGGAGGGCGAGAAGGCCGCCCACGCCTTGCCGAACTCGCCCCGGTTCGCGTAGTAGTGGGCCCTCTTGACCATCTGTTCCATGGAAGGCTGCGAGGGGCCCGGCGAGTCGGCAGCGTCGCCCTGCTCCAGTGGGGTGGGCGGGACGGAGGCGGAGAGCGCCAGCTCTTTCCAGAGGGCCAGGAAGCCGTCGGGCGAGTGGGCGATGGTTGCGGCGCGCTCGACCATCTGGTCGGTCGTGTAGCGCGGCGAGCCGCTCGGCCGGCAGGTGACGAGGATCGTCGACGCGACGACGAAGATGGCACCTCGGGCGCCGTCTTCGGTGCCGGGCGCGTTGGGGTTGCCGCCGAAGGCCTTCATCCCGAACTCGAGCACTGAGCGGATCTTTGCACGGTACTCCTTGTTGTCGGGGAAGTCTTGGCTCTGCAGGTGGAGACGCTTGAGGCACTCGATCGAGACGCTGTCGCAGATGGAGAGATCGTAGTCTGCGGCGGGCGTAGTGTTGAGATTGATCGTGTCGGCCACCCCCGAGGGGGAGTTCCAAGCGAGCGAGACGCCGGTGGCGTTGCGGAGGGCGGCAACAGCAGCAGCAGAGCACGCAGCGGCGCCCGGGACGGCGGGCGCCCACGCGAGCCGCCGGGCGCGAGTGGCAGCCGAGACGCCACGGTTGTCAGCGTGGGTCAGGTTGGCGCCCGGTGTGCCCGGCGCCGCGTGCTGCAGTGCCTTGGCGATGGCGTCGGTGCACTCGGCCTTCGGCGTGATCTTCTCCTTGTGGGCTTTGTGCAGCGGGTCGTTGCGGGACGAGAGGTGGTTGAAGAACATGCTCGTCCCGTTGCCACCCGAGCCATCCGGAAGTTTGTTGGGGATGAGGCAGCAAATCTGAGCGCAGCACCCGCACTTGGTGAGCCCACTGGAGGCGAGGTCCACGGGCGTGTAGTTGTGCGTCTTGAAGTGCGTGCAGAGCGACTTGGCTGTCCCGAAGACTTGGGCGCAGATGGAGCAAGAGAAGGTTTGGCGAGGTGGGTTGGTGTTGGAGCTGCTGGCGGCTTGCGCCCCCCTCGCCTGCCCCGCCTCGCTTCCCTCCACGCTCTCTCCTCCGACGTCCTCGTCGGACGATTCCTCGTCGCTGTCGTGGCCACTGTAAGACGGCGGGGGCTTGCTCCCGTCGCCAACGCGGCGCTTGAGGCGCTGGGAGATGGGCCTCTCATCCATGTCGACGTCGCCCTCTGAGGTGGGCACACCCGTCGTGGCGTCGACATGCTCTGGAGACGCAGGAAGGCCGTCTGGGAGGGCTGCACCGGCGTCTGCCGGATCGGATTCGGCGCCGTCGCCCGCCGGGGCGATGGCGGGGTCGGGGTCGTCGCCCGTGCGCTGCTCGCCGTCGTCGGTCGCCTGCTCTTGCGGTGGTGGCGATGGTGGCAGCGAGATCGAGCCACTTGGATCCGGTCCGGACTCGGGCGGCGGCGGCGGCGGTGACGAGTCTGCGGCGTTGAGCTCTAGTACTTCGCGCTCGGCGTCGGCGAGGCGCTGTCCGGCGGCGAGGGCTTCTTCGTCGGTCGTCGCCTCGTCGAGGGCAGACGATGCGTTGCGCCTCTTAGCGAGGGCTTCTTCCTCTGTCTCCGCCTTGTCGAGGGCAGTCGACGCGACGCGCTTCTTGCTAGCGTCGCGCTTCTTGCCAGCGATAACGTCGGCGTAGGACATGGGGTCCGGCCCGTCGTCGTGGTGTGTCTTCAGCACCTTGGATGAGCCCTTGGGACCGCCCGCACTTCCGCTGGTCGTCCGCGCCTTGCCGCTGGGCGGGGAGGCGCCGCCCTCGGCAGCAGCGTCCGCGAGTGGTGAGCGAGGGCGGACGAGCGAGCCAGAGACTCTTGGCGCCGGGGGGACGACGCCGAAGTAAGTCGGGGCGAAGAGGTTGGCCGGGAACGCGTCGCCGCCGGGGGGTGGTGGTGGGGGAGGCGGCGCCGGCGGCGGCGGCGCGGGAGGAGGAGGGGGCAGCGAGGGGGGCGGTGGTGGCGGCGGTGGTGGTGGCGACGACGGTGGCACCGGCGGCGGCGACGGCGGGGCCGATGCTGTCTGGCAGTCGAGAGGCGGTTCGAACCGGCGCTTGCGCCTCGGCGGCCGGTCGATGGGGGAGGATGTCGATGGATCGAGCTCTTCGATGCTGGCACCGTCGTCGGGCGAGGTCGAGGGCGGTGTAGCCGACGATGACGCAGTGGCGCCGTTGCCGGTTGCCGCCGAGGACGATGCAGCAGATGACGACGTGGCGGCGCCGTTGCCGTCGCCTGGCTGGGCGTAGGTGGTGATCGTGCCGGGGCTCAGGACGACGGGCGGTTGGAGAAGGACGCCGGGATGGGCTGGCGTCGCCTCCCCTTCAAACGGGTACCAGAAGTCGAGTAGGATCTGGGTCGAGGTCGGGATTGGGTAGTGCACGTTGATGTGGGCGAGCGCCTCTTGGATGTCGCGGTACTTCT